AAATGTGGGTCTGCCTTCGACAAGGGAGAGTGCACACTATACAAGTTCATAACAAGCTTCCGAAAATATCTAAATGAAAACTATATATTAAGTGTTAACCAGAGACATTATTTAGTTTAGCTTGGTTAATATAGCAAGTTTTGTTGAGAGTAGGTATATTTTCCCAATCAATCATTCATAATTCCAATTTCTAGAGAGGGAGGGGGGGGGGGGGGGGAAAAAAAACGAAACAAAAGGAAAATCTCAAGAAAAAAATTATAGAATAGGCAATATTATCAACTTGTTGAAGTACTGAATGTCAAAAGGCTTAGCTAAGACATAATAGTAACCCAACAAAACTGGAAAGAAAGGGTTTTCATAAAGTAGGTGGTACTTCTAACTAAATATCAAGTATTGATATGCATTAGTTATAAAGTTTATACATTGTCCTAATTTTATGAAGCTAGTCCAGGGTATCAAGTCATAAACAAAATTGATATTTATTGTTTTCGCTAAGAGTGATTGTGGAAAGTTGGAATGTGCAACTCCTCGCACTAATAAAATTTGATTCTTAAGGATTTCCCCAACTAGGTTTTTGAGAAGCATGCATCGTAAACAAGTGATCACGTTTTCAAAAGAGATTGGCATTTATTAGAGGCCTCAAAGCTTGCGCTTTGAATGCCGTTTGTCAGAGCTTATATTCTTTTTTGGGTGTCATTATAAAAAGATTATAATGAATACAAGTAATAAGTACCACGACATGTGTGGATAATAAGTGAGTAATAGTTGTGACGTGTGGTTGAAACTAATTTTTGAACGCAAATTACAAGTAAATTATGAGGGTGTTTGGGAGACATTTTTATGTAAAAATGCATTTTTGAATAGTAAATTGATGGAAAATCTGTGATTGAAAAATAAGAAATTTTTTTTGATTTACGTGTAATATTATTTTAATAAAAAATGTGTGATTGAAAGGAAGAGAGAAAAATGCATTTTGAAAAAAATGGGTACCAAACGGGACCTATAATTTTTTTACAAACAAGCACTATGTTTCTACTTACAAATAAACTTTTTATTATTTGAACTTCTTAAAAAGTTTTAGATGGTTTATCCTTATTATGAGCATAATTTTGTAATTTTTAAAAATATTTTATTGATATTTTGTTGTGACTTACACCTCAAAAGTGCCTCAAGGATTATTCCTTACCTCAACAGGGACAGAATAGGATTTCGTCTTTCTGAACACTACAAGTCACAGATGAAAATACTTTGAAGCAGACAAAAGTGTATAATTATTAACAATTCATTTAGTTTATAATCAAAGCATAACTGAACCAAAAAAAAAAAAATTACATTTGGCAGGAAAACATCAAAAGATATAACAAATAATCCATAAGGGAGCAATTTTGAAGGCAAGTTACCTACTTGAGACAAGGAGATGGAGAGTATGGAAAGAAAACACTCCTCACATATGACTGGATAGATTAAAATAAAAATTATTAGTTAAAATGTTGAGAGGAATCCAATAGCTAGATACATTAAAAAAAATATATGGAGAGTATAGGATGTGAAGTGTCAACTGTGTTGAAGTTAAGAAACAAACCAGTTTAGGCAGCCTTTCATTTTAGAGATGATGTACTGTAATTGAAAGTAGAGGAACTAACCACTGACAAGAAGGGAGATAACTAAATCAAAAAGCTAAGAGTTGACTTGATTGCATTTCTAAAACTTGTTTTCATAGGTTCCAGTACAAAGGAAACCTTAATTCTTTTATAAGTGAACTTGAAAGTTCTTTTTACAGTTATCGAAATTCTAGTTATCTAAATAATGTATCTACGAGTGAAGCTAACTATCGAGACTTTGGAACTATCTGGACACATACTTTGTGAAATGGTTCTCATGCATGTTTGTTATAATAATAATAATAATAATAATAATAATAATAATAATAATAATAATAATAATAATTAAATTTTTGATTACTTATCAAAAAAAAAATTAAATAATAATAATAATAATAATAATTAAAAAAAAAAAGACCTTATCCAATTCTACCAAATAAATAACGAGATGTCTAAATACCTGAGCCAAAATATTATATGATACAAGTCGGAAATTGAAGCCTGTAGAATTGTGCATAAAGTGAATCAGGAGTAACAAATCCAAAAACATACCCAGTGCTTGATTGCAAAAAGGTTTGTTGAAAAAGGTAAAGAAACAAAACTATATTCATTAACACTAATGCACCTACCATCAGGCTTATTGAAGAAATTTTGCTTTGCTCAACAGGTATAAATTTTCGATGTAGAGGTCCAGGTGTCATACTCATCTTGCTGCAATGAACTACCCTGTAGATTTTGGTTCACATAAGAGAAAATAGAAAACTAAAAGGTCAAAAAACAAAGTTTACTCATCTAGCATTATAGATATCCTAAACTGAAAATAGAGAAGATCAAAGTTTCTATCCGTTGAAGAAATTCTTAAATCACCGTAAGCCTGGTTCATCAAGTTTGACTTAATTCAATTCATTAACATGCATACCACCAAGTTTAAACTCATATACAAGTTAAAGATCAAATAGTTTAACTCGCCGAAGTTCTACTTGAGAAGGTGAACAATTTACTAAGAATTGAATAAATGCGTTGAAAGCAAATTCGGCTCTTCTAATTTTCACAATTGCTGTCATCCAACACACTGTATGCTAAGTTACTAAAAATCAAACTCTTTAACATATTGCTAATATAACAGTTTATTGTAAATCTTAAGTGACAGAAAAAAAAAAAGTTACCCTATCTTTGTCGACAAACAATTTGGAGCTCTTTTATTTGTGCAAATTAGCCACTAATACAAATTTTAGGCCCCCTAATTAAGACCCTTTTTGTTACATCACATAAAAAAGGATATATTTGGAGAATTTAGGGTGTCCTCTTCATGGATTTGGTGCACGGGCCCCTACACCATGCCTGCTGATTGGAGATTGCATATCTATGATCAGGTTTCCCTTTCATATTGGAAAAGTCACAAGAGCCAAACTTTATATTGATTACAAAAAAAAAAAAATACAATGTAGCCAATTAATATACCGTACTGCTGTATTAAAATTCCAATAATTCAAACACATACATACAAACACTACATTCGCACAACGCCACACATGCATGGATAAAAGGTACATGTTTTACCAGAGGAATTCAGAGGTCACAGGACTATTAGATGAGCACCACAAACACCAGATTTCGATTTCGATTTCGGGTCCGGTAAAACGCAGATTCTGAACCAATCAAAGAATTCGAATCTATGACGAACGTTTATACAGAATTTCCAATTTATTTGCTATAGATAAGAAGAAGACGAACCAATAACCAGAACTCCACTACCTTTAATCGAGGTACGCGCGGCCAACGCGGGTTTTGCCTTTCTCTGGTTGTTTCTCGCCTCTCGCAATCGGGACAAAGGGGAGGAAAGGAGGAAATACCGCGTAGCAAAAATTGACATTGGCATTTGACCAATTAAATGACTTAAAAAAAAAACAAATTAAGTTAAAAAGAAAACTTCACAGTATTTTTCCATTTTACCTTTCAGACTGTTTGATAATTCTCTCACCAATCGAATCGACCGACCGACCAGTGGAGAAATCCGACCGACCGACCACCGGAGTTACACCAACGTCGCAATCAACGATCATCATCTACAGTGGAAGTAAAAGAATCGGTTAGTTTTCTGATCAAAACTCCAGTTCGAATGCTTTTTTCATAGTTAGCATCCTTAGTAATTTTGGTTGAAATTAGATCCATGGGCATGAGTAGCTAGATTGTGGGCATGTTGGAATGTGAAAAATGAGATTTTTTGCCATTTTTTGGAGCTCAGTGGCCGGAAATGGCGGTTTCCGGCCGTTTCCCAGCCACCGAGCCATTGAACGGCCAAAAATCGACCGACTGTTAACAGTCGGGCCAGACTGTTAACAGTCAGGCCGACTGTACCCGGCCCAGATAATATTTAAATTTTAATTTTTTTTTATAATTTTTGTAATTAATTAAATTTTTTATTTGATTAAATAGTAATTATATTATTTAATTTTTTTTATCATTGTCAATATAATATAATAATTGAAATATTGTAAAATTAACAATGTTGATTATTTTTTTAAGAAATTATCTTTAATTTATTTTTTCAAAATTTTTTATTTTTTTTTTAAATTATTTTTATGAAATTATCTTTAATTTTTTATTTCAAATTTATTTAATTTTTATATTTGTCCTTTATATAATTTAATAATTCAAATATTGTAAATTTAACAATGTTGATTCTTATGAAATTATCTTTAATTTATTTTTTTAAATTTATTTAAATAATATCTATAGTCTAAATTTTAAAAAAAGGTAAAGTAATTATTTATTTAATTTTTATATTTGTCTTTTATATAATTTAATAATTCAAATATTGTAAATTTAGCAATGTTGATTCTATTTTTTTTATGAGATTATATTTAATTTATTTTTTTAAATTTATTTAAATAATATGAATAGTCTAAATTTTAGAAAAAGGTAAAGTAATTATTTATTTAATTTTTATATTTGTCTTTTATATAATTTAATAATTCAAACATTCTAAAATTAACAATTTTGTGTTGTTCCTTTTTTTTTTTTTATGAAAGAATCTTTAATTTATTTTTTCAAATTTATTTAAATAATATAAATAGTCTTTACATTTTTCGAAAATGTATTTAATTTGAAATTTTTTGTTTGTAAATATATTTTCCAAATAATAATTATTT